CCACTCCTGCATTCAAAAGAATCTTTTAAGATTCCTACATCCACATAGGGAAATTTGCCTTTGAAATTGTGCAATAATGGAATTTCATTGGAAAAAACCTAAACCCATTTATCAAATATTACCTCCGGTCCTTTTAATAAAAATCATTTGTATTAAAAAAAAGTTATAGTGTATTTTACATTATAACTTCTTTTTTTTTTTTTATAAAATGGACAAAAAGTAGTAGAATAAAGACAGACATGAGCAAGAGGAAAGTAGAAATATTGATACCCAAATGGGCCCTGAAACGTGGCAAATCGAAGTTATTACACAACTAAAAACAATCTCAAGAAAAATGACATTTTTAAATAACAGAAGCAAATGTTGTCCTAGCTAGGTAGAGGGAATGTTTCATTACCCCATTGCAAGGCCTCTTTGCCGGTGTTCTTCACCTGAGGATGAGACAAGAAAAAAGAAAACAATTAACAGTTAAAGGATATATAGTATGATTACAACGACTCGCCTATCTTATCTCAAGATTGATATTGCTGGTTCACTTGAGCACCATCAATGCCAGATATAACGAACGGAAGGCATTAAAGGATTCTTCTAGCAGGAAAGGTATATGTAACATTATAATTATAAACTCACCATGGCCTCGAGAGATTTGTTACTGGACTCTCCTAAATGCACAAAAACAAAAAGAATGAAATATCAATACTCTGCCAACTTGAAGCTTTCCACCCCCAGAAATAAATTCAGTACAACAACGAAGAGATTGGCATAAAACACAATTTCTTTTTTATTTTTTTTATTTTTTTGTTTTTGGGTGTTACTATATTTGCAAATCCAATGTATCCTTTAAATATTCATAATCAAAAGGACCCACACCTCATTTGAGGAAGAAACAAGAGCAAAATCAGGATATAGTAATGCAATACAGTTATTAGAATTAAGATGCAATGATACAAAATCAATTGAGCATGGCATGTACCTCTAAGACCCGGCAAATGATTTTTCTTGGCACTTGAAAGGTCTGGTGGCAAAGCTCCACTCTTATCAGCCCCGGTACCTATGAATACATATGTGTTATTAGTATCAAGCACAACAATGCGCCATCATTACATAATTCTCTCTCCTTTTCAAATTCCACTCATTTAATAAACTTTTACAGAAAATAAATTAAGATTGATTTATTATGATCAAGACACCAGAAAAACATACATAACATTTCCGATCAAATCTTAATTAAATCCAATTCATGCATATTATTAAGTTATTTATATAATAATGATCATTTAATTAGAACAGGAAGTGGAGGAATATTGCACCTTCAACAGCTGTGAAATAAGCCTCACGGGACACAGCTTGAACCGCTCCC